TGAGAAACAATAATGCTTGGCATATAGTATCTATAGCATATGAAATGTTTATGGTGCCMTCTTACAGGAAAATCCAATAAAAGGGGTGTATATTATACAAATTGCGCATTTGAAATCGAATAGCTTAAGATTTTCTGTAAACATTCTTAACGAAATAATTTTGTTGCTACGCAGCCTGACGATAACTTTAACTAATTAAAGTTTAGCATAAAAATCATATAAAAGCAGTACATAGAAACAACTTTTCTGGCTGGCTATAACACAAAATTACATGACAATCAGTGCGAAATATTGTTATTTGATTACTGGATCGCACTTTTTATTTCATAGTTGCCTTGCAGCAATGATTAAGGCGTTGCTTTCGTCGCAGTCATTCGTAATAAAACCATATTTAGAGTAATCATCATTTATAGTTGTCGCGATGGCCGAGTGGTTAAGGCGTTGGACTCGAAATCCAATGGGATTTTCCCGCGCAGGTTCGAATCCTGCTCGCGACGATTAATTTTCGAATAAACTTTTGGTTAATTTTTTTCCAAGACTTGGTAAAGATTTATTCTGCTTTATTTCTGTAAGATAAGTTGCAAATCAGTGTATGGGCTCGTGCGACGCAATACCCTTTTCGGACATTTGGGGGTGCAGCCTTAGTCTCCAATCGAATCACAAGTAATCTTTATGCTTCAGTGTTAACGATAAATGCATACATGCAGAGCAATATGTATTCGTGCTTTTGTCTGTTTTAGAAAATAGCAGACAATGTAAGTTCCGTTTGGCCGGGAAAAGGTAACCGCCGTTGTGGCAAGCGTCTTATATACTTTGCCAAAATACTTCTGCAACGGAGGTTACTCTACAAGAAAGGGTTCAAAGTATAGTCTTTTTGCAAAAAATTGTATGCCAAACTGAATTGTATTCAAAATGAAAAAAATTATCGTCGCGAGCAGGATTTGAACCTGCGCGGGGAGACCCCATTAGATTTCTAGTCTAACGCCTTAACCACTCGGCCATCGCGACAACTACATTCCATATTCGATTTTTGCTAAATATATATATAAAAAATACCAATCATCACCAATTTACATTAGCAAAAACCGGGTGAAAATTATCAAATAATTTTCCAGCAAATTTTGAGGATTTCTTACGCACGCACTACGTCGAATCTAATTTGCGCGCAAACTCATGCCCAGACCTACTCATACAAAAGATGATTAATCACTGTCACTGGAAGCTTTTGTGAACAGTGCATGCTCAATTTCAAAGGACCTGGGGTGAGAAATCAGGTGATTCAAGTTGTTGTGGGTGTAAGCCGGAATGGAGCAATTTCTGATTTCTGGTTTGTTATTCACAAAGTGTCAAGATGAAGCAAGATTATCTGGTTGTTTGGAAATATGAAACAAAGTGAGTCTGCCATGTGGACGAGAGAGACAGACGACTGATAATATATCCTTTACAGGGTGATGTTATCGATAATATCTTGAAAATGTTCCTGAAAACATTTGTTTCGTTTCAAAAGGTTTGGCCTCGACTCAAAGCATGATTTTTGTCTGCTTGCGTGATTTACATGGTATCCATGGAAATATGAGTTAAGGAATAAAAGACGAAATTCCGTGTTTGATACTCTGATCAAAACACGCGGGATGTAGGGAGAGCACGAGAAAAGCGTAGGAAACCACGACGCGTAGCGGAGTGGTTTCCAGCTTTTCGAGTGCTCTCCCTACATYCCAAGTGTTTTGATCAGAGTATCAAACACGGAATTTCGTCTTTTATTTCTTTTCTAAAATTAAAAGAATACGAAAATTGTAAAGAATTCTGACTTTTGATACAATATGAAACGATGAATTCTCCTTACATTGCAGTTGTCAAAACTTAACCAATCAGCGTAGGCTAGCTGACAGATTGAGCTCAGGCTACCTAGCTAGGTTGTGTTTATTTTACTTTTCTATTACTGAAACACAGTCGAAAATGTNGTGATGTTATCGATAATATCTTGAAAATGTTCCTGAAAACATTTGTTTCGTTTCAAAAGGTTTGGCCTCGACTCAAAGCATGATTTTTGTCTGCTTGCGTGATTTACATGGTATCCATGGAAATATGAGTGTCTATTTAGAAATGTAAGATTTGAAAATGAAATAATAACAAGGCTATTTTATTCATTGATGTAAAAATACTTGAGCTCGTGCTCMGTAAAATATAACAATAATGTATTAATCAAGAACTCAACATTTYAAGAAAAGATATTACATAAATTAGCAAGTAATAATCTCAAAAGGCACATCATTCGCACATAGTATTACCAGGAAAGACAATTTTGGAATTTAGTCCTCAATAAAGTTGYTTCTTTTCAACATGATCACTAGAATAACACTTTCTTTTAACTTTTGCAAAGTTATTAAAGAACATATGGCGTTTTTGTCACGGTACCTCATTATTCCTCATTCTCGGAACCCTGTTCACGAAGGAACTGGTTTTTCAGTCCAGTAAGATATACTCGCAGACCATGTTCATCCAGACGCGAGTTGTTGGCTGCCTGGATAAGTTTGGTAGCTAATCGGTATTCGGCTTTTTGTCGTCGACCTTCGGGTGATAGAAAGCAGGGGGACTGAAAAAGAAAGTATGGATTAAAAATTTGTAGCAATTTAAGGTAAATACAAAAAAGGATATAATACCAAGAAATAATTTCTGTCGGCTTTTAGAGACAGCTTTGATATAATTCAGGATTGCAGCCGAACTTGACAGTGATACTTTACGTTTTTGTTCTTGTTTGAAATTCAAAACCGGCTTGATTTAGCAAAAAAAAAGAACAATAACAAACTTTAAAACCGCCATTATTTATCAAAAGACAACAACATCAACAAACTTCRAAACCGCCATGATTTAGCAAAAACAAACAAACAACAACAACAACAACAGCAACAACAACAACAAGAGTAACAAATTAATAACTTAAGGGTATCTGACCGTACTCAGTTCTGAATAAAAAATATAACATATATATTTTCAAAACAAAGCAAATGATGAAAAGAGTTTTTGGATGAAAGTGTCCTTTTTTTCAAATATGTTTAGGCCATTAAACGTACTGTTTTTCCAGCTGATAATGATGTTGACACTTCTYTTGCCATTGTGAATATAGATTGCGGTAGTGTTGAAATCTCTGCCAATTGCAAGCCTAAAATGAAAATTACCTTAACTTCCGGCAAAGTATTGAAAATAGGGCTAGAGTTATGATATAAATTAAGTGCTTAAATCCTTTCTAAATCTGCTGTAAGTAATGGCAAAATGCAACACCCTCCTTCAGCCGCTTAGGAGGCTCCTCTTCAGGCAACTCAGTTTTTTCCTCCTTTGGGCATTTTTTGTAATGGTTATCTTGGCCGCTAGGGACTAGCACCTCCCCTCTCTCGTTTCCATTCTTCCTCTTCTGACTCCCAAAAAAGACAGGATGTTCATGACTCTAAGTGATGCCTTTGGAGGAGGCTACAACGAATTATAAATCAACGTACCGTAGTGCTGYTCTTCAGTACGTCCTTTGGATAGCATATGTGAGTACACTATCTTGTTACACCCAGCCTCATTACTAAATGATCGCTGGATTTCAAAGTGTAAGCTAAAAGGGATAATAGGCATTTAATTGACGAACATGAATTAAGAATTCAAAATGAGTTTCATTCATACACCCTTGGATCCGCTCTTAAATGGATATATCTTACTTTTCGGCATTTGGGTAAAGCTCATCGATGCTTGCYAGTTCAAGGAAATGTGTTGCAAAATACGTAAATGCCTGAAAGAAAAAAAAAATACCAATATATTGCCCTTGATTTGTTCACTTTGCCTTTTTTATCAATTTTATATTGTTGTAATGATTTTTCTAGTTTCTGATGTCTATTTTGTTAATATGCTTATTTTTATTATTATTAACAGTATTATTACTATATTTTCTCTTGTTACCTTGGTATTTAGAAGATGTTCACAGACAGCAAAACAAATGCCTACGCCTTCTTCACTACTTGTACCTTTTAGAAATGCAAAATTATTAAAAATTCAATTGTGAAAAACGTGATAACAGTAGAGATAAAGGATACAAAATCCATGCAGCATGCTATACCTCTTCCTAACTCATCGATGATAATCAAAGATCTGTCAGTTGCGTTCTAAACGACAAAATTAAAGAACATTATAAATATACTAGCTCGTACAGTATAAAACTTAAATCATGCCACATT